TTTTATGATTTAATCAACTTGTTGTATTTTTTTCTAAAAGTCCTTGTTTTCTGTGTTAATTTTTCTAGATCTTGTTTTAATTAAGTAAATTTTATGAATGAAAAAGAATGTCTAATCAGTTGAATTCATAAAACTTTAATTTACTATTAATAAATGTCACTGAATGTAATAAAAAAAATCGTGAATCGAATCGTGAGTTGAGTGAATCGTTACATCCCTAAATAAATTTCTTATTTTTTTCAATAACAGTGCCAATAACAGTGTTAAATATATTGTTAATTATCATTATTTTAATTCGGGATGCACCGAATGTTCGGCAACCGAATAAAATGATCGAAATCACGAAATGGCCTTAAACAATTAGTAAATAAACTGCAGAACGTCATGTTTTCTAAATCACGCACGCTTTGCATGTATTCTGACAGTGCTGCGCGAACTCGCCGAGCTATCTGCTTGTTAACCAGGGTTCAAACTGATCTGTGATGCGACTGTCGTTCGGCACGCTGCATTGAGCAGCCGCGTTCAGTTTTTAATTGTAGTGTCTGTTCTTTTACTGAACTAAATTATTTTTATTACTATAAAAAATCAAAACAGCGGTGGGGGTCGGTGACGTGGTGATCAAGTGATGTAACCGGTGTTGCGGCTTAACAACGGTATCACCGTCAACACCGTCTATCGCGGCAAGCCTAGTTCAAAGTCCAAAGCGCGAGGAATATCTGTGCTGATTATAGTGTTTGGGATCTGTAATTTTTTCTAATGTTTTAAAAGAAGTCTCTTCTTTTCAGCAAGGCTGCTTTTATTTGTACAGTAAAAAATACATGCCTGATTCAAGAAGGCTGACTGATGGCCAAAAAATATTATTTTACTAACTTCTTTAATTTTAAGTTAAATTGTGCTTTGTTGGTATAATGTCTGCTAGAATGTAAAAAAAATTTTCAGTGTTAAATATTTTTAAATTGTTGTTTTGTAATTTATTTTTTTCTTTGAAAAGCAAGACAAAACAGTAAAAAGCACATTTTGGCTATTTAATTTATGCAATAGTGAAAAAATTTGGCAAAATACATGGGGGGAAAAAACGTATTCGGCCTTCGGCCCAGTGTTTCCTTTTGTTCGGTTTCTGAATTTTCATTTCGGTGCATCCCTAATTTTTATTTAATATTATCTTATAATACTATTTAATATCTAATATTATCTTGTTTAATGCTTTAAGTAAATGTAATGGTTTAAGTTCAGAAATCAGTTGAATTCATACAACTTTACCAATTTAGTAATTTATTTTATCAATAAGAGTTCCCTATGATTAGTTGTCTGTTTTAAGTTTATTTAATGTTAATTATTTCTATTTAATTATTCTGATTTAATTTTACTTATTTAATACAAATATAATGATAAAAAAATATAAAATATGATAAAAAACGGTGGTATTCAAATGAATGTGAAAAATGCATTCTTTTGATTACCACTATTTTTGATAATATATATATATTTTTTTTTGATAATGATTTTTGCATTACTTGTTAAGTTTCAAAACATGTCTTGATTTTTACTGTTTTTATTTATTTATTTATTTAAACATTTTGAGTTCACTTGGATACGGTGACCATTTGGTTAAAATAATGATTCCTCTGATTGAAAGAAATCACCTGTTTTACATGCTTTTCCTTCTCTAACAAGTGAACGTCATACATCTGACCTCCTTCAGGAGTGTTTTAATAGACTGAGTAAGCAGAGCTGGAACTTAGACAAATATAACACAACATAATTCCTAAACTTTGATCTGATTTGTTTGATAGCTTTTTTTTTCCGGCCGGCTCTACCTGTTTGCGGTGTACATAAAGCGTGGTTGTGATTTGGAGAGGTCAGCTTGTAACCATTAGACGCCCAAACACGCAGCAGACGCTTTTTATTGGGCCCACGGAGCAAAGTTTTGTTTATTCAGGTGCGGAGGGGAATGTCTCATAACTCCAGCCGTTCGCTTTTAATGTAAAGAGTTTTTATGGCTGTCTGGAGAGGAAAAGAGCCTTCTTCTGAATGAATTTCTCACTTTTCCACCCACTAATCAGTTCTGTTAATCGGAGTGAATATTCAGTGCGCTTATGAATATGGATCACCTCTATTTTTGAGTTTTTTTTCATACTGTGCTGATATGTCATCACCCTCCTGTTGTTTCTCGCGCCGTATTTCACAGTATTAGCTGTCTTTCATCTCTGTCTTTCTCTCCCACGGATCGCTGTAAATACCAATCTCACTTCCCTCTACCTCAACTCTCATGATCAGGATCAAAACTGACCAAACTTGCTGGTATTAATACACATTCTTGGTGACATTTGTGAATTATTCATCTGTTCACGTTATTCAGTCTTCAAAATTTTCTTGAAATATAATAACTTGCTCCTCTAAAATAAAAAAGGCCTCTTGCTTAACATTACCCACAATTAGTGAGCTGCCTTGCCTTTCATTGCCTACATAGGCAGCATGCTATCTAGGGATGCCCTTAAAGTTTTATTATTTTGGAGAATATTGGTATATGATATATATTATAATATTGATATTTAACTGCCTGTTTTACATTTTTGATTTAGTGAACACTTGATCACTTTTACAATTAATCTGATAATTTAATACACTTAATCTTTATTTTTATTGCATATCAGATAATATTGCATATATAAGCTAATATTGATATTTAACTGCCTATTTTTATATTTTAATTAACCATCATCTAGCATTCATTTAAGTTAATCTAATAATTTAATAACATATAATTTAATCTATTTTTTGTAGTATTTCAATTAGTATTGGATATATATTAGCCAAAATTGATATTTAACTGCCAGTTTTTACCGTTTGATGAACTTTAAATTAGTTCTTGATGACGGTTAAGGTAATTAATAATTTAACACTTTTTGGATCAATATTAGCCAATATTGATGTTGAACTGCCTATTTTTATATTTTGGATACCTTAACCGAAGTCAAGCGTTCGCTTAAGGTTAATCTAATAATTTAATAATGCACTTTTTGTTAAATTTTTTGTAGCATATAGATAAATATTAGTGCTGTCAAATGATTAATCACGATTAATCGCATCCAAAATAAAAGTTTTTGTTTACATAATATATGTGTGTGTACTGTGTATATATATATATAACTGCCTGTTTTTACATTTTGTTTACCTTAATTGTGGTCAGTCTAAAAATGTAATAATTTTTATTTATTTTTTTAGCATATCAGTTACTATTGGATTATAAGCTAATACTGATATTTAAATTCTTGTTTTTGCATTTTGATTCCATTCATACTTCATACTAATTCATACTTTCATACTCATTTATGATTAAAACTTTGTTTGCTGTGTATTTTGTACCCTTTATAAAGATTTTCTATAACTATTCCATTTTGAATGCAATATATGAATGTATATTTTTTCCCACTAGCTCATTCTGTGGATGGCGTCTCGGAAGGAAGTCCAGTCATTGTTAAAAACGCCGTTCGTAATGAATTTCCGTCCTTATTGTGTGCAGTGAGCAGCTCATCTCGGCAGTGCTTGAATAATTCTTCCTGTTTTGCTGGTTCTGCTCCGTCGGTGGAGTGTGCACTCGTCCCTTGCCGTTTTATTGAATTTGCTGACACAAGCCTGCGACCCCCCCCTGTCCACGGATCGCGTTTGGCACACCAATGGCTCTCGAGTCGTAATTCACTCGTCCGCTGTACTTCTGTTCCGCTCCGTCGCCGGCGCTGTCATGATCGCCCCCCCTCTTCCCCCTTTTTAATTAGACAACAAAACAAAAACTATGAATATGCATAAGCAGAGACCTCATTAATATGCACAATTATGCAAATCAGCGCACAGTTAAGCTGCTTCTCTCCAGAGCATTAAGGGGGAGACGGTTTTCGGGAAATTTCTGCACCGTCGATCTTTAAAATTCTTCCGTTCTGCGTCTTTCCAGCCTTTGTGCTTTCGGTCACTGGGACATTTGTGGTTTCGAAACCTTTGAGGTTTGCGTGACATGTCAAATCACACATCAGCTGGTAAAGATGGCAGAGACGCAAAACAAAACGCAGTTTGACCATCGAGCTTCAGTCGGGTCATTACCTGACCTGATAGTGCTGATAATGCAGACACAGAATATGAGAACGATTTAACAAACAAAATCTGTTGTGTCTGAACAACCTCGTGTGAAAGAGGCTTAAGAAGCTCGTCTCGTCAACCTGAAATCAGCCTAAGTATACAGGGCTTCGTTAAGACCTATTAGTTTACTAGTCGTGCATGCACACGACTCACAAGTCAATTTTTAGTTTTGCACAAACATTTAATTTTCTGTGGCATGTTTTCAAATATAAAATGTTTTTTTGTCTTTTCTGCAGTGCATTCATGTTGTTTGTTGTATATGCTATACTTTATTGGAGATCAAGTAGATGCATTTTAAAAATACACTACCGTTTTTTTTAAGGAATAAGGAAATTATTACATTTATTCATCAAGGCTGCATTAAATTTATCAGAAGTGACAGTAAATACATTTATGTGGCAAAAGATTTCTATTTCAAATAAATGCTGTTCTTTTGAACTTTCTATTCATCAAAGAATCCTGAAAAATAAAATGCATCACAGTTTGCACAAAAACATGAACGGTTTTCAGCATTGATAATAATCAGAAATGTTTCTTGAGCAGCAAATCAGCATATTAGAATGATTTCTGAAGATCATGTGACACTGAAGACTGGAGTAATGATGCTGAAAATACAGCTGCGCATCACAGAAATAAATTACATTTTACAATATATTCACATAGAAAACAGATGTTTTAAATGGTAATAATATTTTAGAATTTTACTGTATTTCTGAACAAACAAATGCAGCCTTGGGGAGCAGAAGAGACTCAAAAACTTTACAATTATTGTTTTGAATGTCAAATTCATAATCATTTGTTATCAGCCAACATTTCTAAATCGGCGCATATCTAGTTCTAAGTATTGATAATGTTTGCTTGTTTTTCAGGTTTAGATGAAAGAAGTGGCTCCGGCTCTTGGGCTTCAGGAGAAGCGAACGGTCCCGCATTCGGCGCACGGGTACGAAAACACATGTGCATTCACTCTGTCATAAGACAGAGTCACAGACTCTGATGAAATGCAGAAATTAGTGAAGCTGGGCCTGTGAGTGAGGACAGAGAGTCTCTGGTGTCTGGTGGTGCTTTGCTTTTCCCATCAGACCTTAATCCCTAAAGGAAACAAACCTGACTGCAGCAGATATCTAGTCCACTTCAGGATGTCTCGATGGTTTGTTTAAAGCAGAGCGGCGTGTAGCTGTAGACGGGAAGTTCAGCAGACGCGTGTTTGTAGGTCAGTCGGTCAGTGGCTGAGATTAGCCGGCCGTTGTTAGCGATGCTCATGTTTACCTGCCCCATCTAGTGCTAATCTCTCACCTGTCAGACTTCATGAATGTTAGATGCATCACATGTGTGAATGATGCGTCCTATTCTCTCCGTGACCTGTTTTGCTCATAAACAAGCAGGCTGTAATTTTAGTCAAGGTGCCAACATTTTTCATGACCATTTGTGATCCTGGACCACAAAACCAGTCTTAAGTGTAAATTTTTCAAAATTGAGATTTATACATCATCTGAAAGCTGAATAAATAAGCTTTCCATTGGTGTATGGTTTGTTATGATCGGACAATATTTGGCTGAGATACAACTATTTGAAAATCTGGAATCTGAGGGTGCAAAAAAATCTAAATATTGAGAAAATCATCTTTAAAGTTGTCCAAATGAAGTTCTTAGCAATGCATATTACTAATCAAAAATTAAGTTTTGATGTATTTACGGTAGGAAATTTACCAAATATCTTCATGGAACATGATTCTCTTTAATTAATATCCTAATGATTTTTGGCATAAAAGAAAAATGTATAATTTTGACCCATACTATGTATTGTTGGCTATTGCTACAAATATACCCCAGCGACTTAAGACTGCTTTTGTGCTCCAGGGTCACATATCTCTTTGAACTTATAATATAAAATTAATATATATAATATAATATAATATTAAACGTTTTTTTCCCCTGCTGCATGAGTCTTTTTCATTGATATGAAAAATGA